CAATTAATGGGAATACTTGATTAAGTGGACAGGATATGGTCCCGAAGAGAATTCATAGGAACTAGTAGCATTAATTAGCAGAAACGCGCTGAAAGAATTCTAAAAAAGGCTTAAAATATCCCCAAGAAGATTAGTTAGGGAAATTCCGACCCAACCAAAGTAAGGTCGAGGGCGACCTCCTAAAAAGGGGAGAAACAGCAGAAGCTGAGTACAATTATAAGGCCTACATTACCTTTTACCTAATTAAGACCCCCACGTGTCTCCCATAAGGGAGTTTGGTGGAAGGTTAGCCTAAGAGCAAGGTATTTTAACGGATGTAGAGACTTTGGATTTCACTAAGACAAGGACCCAAATTCGAATTTTCACTAAGTCAAACAGCTAGTAGGGAGAAAAATAGAAAAGAGCATAGAATGGACCAATTTGGCATTAATTGGCACTATCTGGTACTATTGAGAGAGAAAGCCGACCATTATTACCTAAACAGCACCCAAGGGGAGCTGCTGGGAGATATATTAATAGAAAAGTAAAAACCGCAACTCTTACTATCTAGAAAGGATTAAAAGCCAGCATTAGTGCCGTGAACCACCATTCATCACCATATACCGCCATTCCTTGCCATATACCGCCATTTCTTACTAGAAGCCGCCAATTGTTGCCATCTCACGCCAATTGGGCACTGGTTGTGCCGTAGACCGCCTAAACCCTATTATGGGGGAAGAGTTAGAGCCATTAAGCACGACTAGTGTTAGTCTTATATATTCTAGACTTAGAGTGACGCTTGGTGTGGTATTAGGTATTAAAGTGCTTAACCTTATCTAACTCTAAGCTAAATGGGCTAATGGTAGCCATCTAAGTACCAGAGAGAGTATTACGGGAACACTTATTACCAGCTAAAGTTGGAGAAGCCGGATCATCAGGAGCGGAGGCAGAAGCAGTCAAAGAGGTGATGTCAACGTGAGCTAGGACCTTGGCCTGCTCCTCGGCACGCTTTCAGTTCTATTCAGCAGCAAAACCAGTCACTATGGTGCCATGGGGATAACCACACTTCTTTTGTGCCAGTTAGGTACCAATTCTACCAAATAGCGCCTAGGGATGCCACTTACCACCATTTAGGCCTTAGAAGGGCTAACACCGTCCTCATTAGACTTATCCTTAGCTTCATCGAGCTTTCGCTTCTTCTTAAGGGCAGCCTTGGACCAGCTGTGACCCTGGATGAGCACACTGGACTCAGCGGTATCTTTGGTCTAATGAATGGCCCCATTATAGGCTTAAGTAACCTCCCAGTATCCTTTGTTGCCACTGGAGCCAATTAGTGCCAAGTTATGCCAAATGGTTCCCAATGATACACTTACGTGCCTAACTCTACCAGAATACGCTTAGTAAGACGCTTCACCTCCTTATTGGCCTCATTATGGTCCTCATTAAACGAAGCGCGCTCTTCGGCCTCATTAAAGGGCGGAACCTCAATAGGAGCCCTCATGAGGCGAAACTCGCCAGGTTGAAGTCTGATTGGGGCTGCAATATACTTAGAGTCCGCCAACTGGGTGTCATAGGTCCGCTTGGCCGCATTATAGAACGCAACTCGCTTTTCATGGGCAGTCTTACGCATTTAAAGGTAAACTTCCTCAGTAATGTCTACCACAGTGGCAACAGCGTCTTCAAGAGCCGCAAGGCACTTCTAAAGGACAAAAGTAGGCTATTTGTGCTAGTTAGCGCCAGATTAGTACCAATTATGCACTATTGTGCCAAAGAATGCTATTTAATACTCACTACGAAGCAAGGACGACCCTCGACTAAACAAAGGAGACAAAGGCGGTAAGGAAGGCCCTCATAGACCAATAAATCCTATTCATCGTCTATAGGATCCATCTTGCCCACATTATCCACATCCTTGACTCCATGCTTAGTATAGAGGAGAAGATAGGATAGGCAGGGAAAGGTGGTCCAAAGTCCGTGCTTCTTAGTGGACTCAATGCGAAACTTCGCCAAGGTATTAAGCTTTAGAGGCATAGTGGTCGATTTATGCCAGATGTTGCTAAGTGGTGCCAAATAGAGCCAGAAAGAGCTAATAGTGAGGTTAGAGTACCGAAAATAAACTAGATATACTAAGAAAAGGTGGAATGTGCCAATTAGGTGCAAAAACTACTAGTTAGTACCTAATAGGGGAAGAAGTTGCCTATATATGACTATTTGGTATGGTTAGCAACTCTTTCTACCAAATTCTACCACATTCTACCAGATTGCGCCAGTCGATAAGGTGATTAGAATCATGGAAATACTCACCTCCACTAAGGATGGGAAAAGTAATGGAGTGAAGAATAGGTGGGAGGGTCCGATTGGGTGGGGTATACCTTTTGGACGCCAAGGCACTAAGCTATTAGTGCGTCACGTGACCAGACTAGCGCGTTATGTGACAGCTGCTGCCTAATTAGGCCAAAATGCGCGCATTTGCGCCCTACCGCCTCTTATTCCACCTAATTGCGACTGGATCTAAGCTGGTAGATCGCGGGCCATTATCTTGCCATTGCCTCCAGAGTAGGGCTCTTGAGAACTCACCCGACTTAATTGGGACAACTCGGCGCAAAATGGCACAAAATGGCCAAACCCACTAATACATGACATGAACAACGCCCATATCGAATACTAGCACTATCTATGGTACCATTGCTTACAGAGAATCCACTCTTAGGGCGAGAGTGTCCTTTTAAGGGGGATAATGTCAGACCTCCCCTACCATGGACCAGGCGGCTCACCCTAAGGTCATGTGACTTGGACTATATAGCACTAGGAGCTGGCGGGTAGAGCCCATTAGCGATTCGTCTATCCTACACCTAAATGTTACTATCTCTCCACTGTTGAAGTCAAGGCTACACTGTTCACCCCATACCTCTAACAACTATACTAATAGTACGCTTCTTTATATGCTTATTAAAGTGCTTTAACCACTATAGGCTAAGTTCATTTATTATCTAGCCATTCTTAGAGACTATAATTACCTAGTTAGTAGGTAGGTTCTCCTCTTTATACTAGGTAGAGAGGTGGTGCTTAGCCTAAAAGATAAGGAAGGGTAGGATTAGCTAGCCCATTACGTTAATACCTTAGATGGCTATTACCCACTCCTAGTTACCCTACTAAACGCTCTTTGGCCTCCCTTAACGTTTAGAGGCTGTAACTACTACCCTAGTTAATATTATACTAATCATGAAGCTAGATTTATTAAAATTATAGGTATCTTTATCTAGGATCCTATATGTGGCCTTCGTGTTCTCCACGAGCAAGAACTAGTCCTAGATAACTATAGGGTCTTTATAGAGAGCTCTCTTATAGTTATACTTTTAATTAAACTTAACTTAGAGCTCTGCCTAGTGCTTTATAAAGGTTATAGGCTAGTTTTAGCCAACTAGGTCCCTATGCCGCACAGCTAGTAGAGAATTGGCCATATCTCTAATACTATTAAGGTGGGGGGGAAACCCTTATGCGTCTAGGTTAAGTATATACTTAATAATCACCTCCTCTTCTATCTTAAGTAGTTTCATTAAATTGGGTACGTAGTCATATTAAAAGGTAACTCTAGCATATCACGTGCCTAGTGTACTTCGGGAGACACTATAGATAGCTATAGCGTGTTGCTAGGATAGTGTTACGTCTTATTTAAGAGCCTAAAGCGCGAGCTATATTCTAGCTTCTTTTAAAGTAGGTAGCTATTAAGGTAGTTAAGATATTATGGCTGCTATTAGCTGCTGTTAGTAGTTAATAGGGTCTTGGCATAGTGGCCAGCTTACTTATATGGCCAGCTCGCCTATAAGGTACGTTATGGTTCTATATTAATAAATAATAAGATAATTAGGTAGAACTATTAC